CTGTAATGACTTTAAGTGGCTTTTTGCCGCGTGACCCCACGCCGTGGAGGCGTAGGTTAGCTGCGGTTGAAGTACCACCTTGATAAGCGTTCGCTTATTCCTTAAACTGAGGGTGTTTCCACCTTTGAGTAAGGGATAGAGCCTAGCCCTGGTGGTCTTCGCTCGCGCCACCGTCTCCACGATGTGCGGTTTCCACGTGAGACGCTGGTCCATTGTCACGCCCAGGTATCGTGTTTGTCGATTCCAGGAGATGGGTTCCTGGGATAGTGTCAGTCTGTCGAGGTTTTGTGGGATTTTTGGAGGAGGGAGACGGAATATCTAGGATCTACAGATTGGGATGTGATTGTCAGGTCGTCGGCGTATAAATATATGTTGGTGTTGGGGGGATGTGGGATGTCGGAGTTGTAAATGGTGTATAGGTGTGGGGACAGGACGGTGCCCTGGGGGACACCGGCCTCCATGGGACGGGTGGTGGAAAGGGAATCTTGGATTTGGATGCGGAATTTTCGGTGGTGTAGGTAGGATTTTATGAGTTTGGTAAAGGATATGGGATATTGGTTGGTGAGCATTTTCATCAGTAGGCCTTCATGCCAAACCGTATCGAAGGCCTTTGCGACGTCCAGGAAGACAGCACCAGTGTACTGTCCCCTGTTGAAGGCCGCCGTGATGTGCTCGGTAAGGCGAAGGATTTGGAGTTCAGTGGAGTGATTGGGTCGGAAGGCGAACTGCTCGTCTGGAATGACTTGCAGTTCTTGGGAGTGGGTTCTTAGACGGGTTAGGATAATTTTTTCTACCACTTTGCTCATAGCCGGGAGCAGGCTAATGGGCCGGTAGTTGGATGGGATGGTGTGATCTTTGTTGGGTTTTGGGATAAGGATTATGTTTGCTGTTTTCCAGCGGGTAGGGAAGTGTCTTAGTCTGAGTGTCCCGTTAGTTATGTTTAGTAGGGCCATGAGGCCCTTGTGTGGTAGTCGTTTGAGTGTCGTGTTCTGTATATTGTCGGGTCCGGGGGCTTTTGTTTTTAAGTCTGCCTATTGTCAGTCTAAGTTTGTCAGGAGTTGCGGGGGGGATTATGTCATTGTTTGGCTCTCTGTCGACGCGTCGGGCAGCGCGCTCAGCCACTATCTCGAACTCCTCGCCTTCGTCGGGCAGCTGAGGCAGTCTACACTGCAGTTCCAAGCTGTTGGCGAAAGCCTCGGCCTTTTCCTGGTTCGTGTAAACCACCCCCACACTACCGTGGATTGGAGGAATTTTACGGCGAGCGGTCTGTCGCAGGGCCCTCTGCGTTTTCCAGAGGCTGTTGTCTTGTGGATCCAGCGACTCCAGGTGCCTAGCCCAGTTATCCTGGGCCAGTTCATCCAGAGCCGCCTTCACCCGTCTGTTAAGTACGTTTAAGTCATGTCTGTGTCGGGGGAGGCGGGTGCGGGTGGCAAGCCGTTTCGCACGTCGTCTGTCACGTATTAAGTTTTTTATGTCATCGGGGAGGGTGCCCCGGGGGTTTGTCAGTCGGGGGACAATAGTCTCCGTCGTAGTCTGAGTCAGGGCGTTTTTAATGTCAGTCTCAAGGGAGAGGATTGCCGCCTCCAGATCATGGGTGGTTTCGATGACTGGGAGCGCCATGTTTCCTTGCATTACTGTTCGGAAACGCTCCCAGTCAGTGAACCTCCTCGTGAAGGTGCCTTCATATCTCTGTCTTCGCCCCAGATCCAGAAATATTGGATTGTGGGCGGAAGACCCTTCGTATTGGGTGGATATTTGGGCATTTAACGGTATAGATTTTAAGAGGGCAATGTCGATAACGTCGGGGCGTCCTACGGGTCCGTAATGTGTCGGTTCTGTCGGTCCGAGTATAGTCAAGTCGTCGTGTCTGTCTTGGTAATTCAGCAGGACGCGACCTCTTGTGGTCGTCGTCCCGCTGTGCCATATGGGGGACTTCGCGTTGAAGTCCCCGATGGCAATTGTCTGGGGCCAGGAAAGGATTTTGTCTAAGTCATTGTCAAGTAGTGGTAGTCTGGGTGGGTGGTAACAGGACACCACCGCAACGTCTCCATGCCGTAGCGATCTCACCGCTATCGCCACGGCCTCTGTGTTTTGAGTTTGGAGCCGCTGCAGCGGATAGTGGTCGATGCACTTCTTTACTATGAGTGCAACACCACCCCCGTTACGGTTTCTGTCATGTCTGTATATGTCATAGTCAGGGATGGAGGTACGGGATGCCTCGCTGAGGTAGGTCTCCTGGACAGCCATAACGTCTATGTTTAGACGGTTCAAGATGTCCACGAGTTCCGTTTTTTTGGCCCGGAACCCGTCAAGGTTCCAGGACGAAATTCTCAGCGAGGAGGGTTGGGAGGGCCGACGAGCCATTAGAAGTCGAATAATTTTTGCATATTCGACACCATGGTCGTCAGCTGGACGCAGAAGTCCTGAAGACGCTTTGTTGCGTCAATCAGGGCCGCCGCGCCCGGTTGGGAGGGTGTCGTGTCTGTGTGTGCGTGTGGTGAGGTGTTGTGTTTTTGTTTTTGTGTGTTTTGTGTTTTTCTGGTCATGTCAGCGTATGTGCGTCCTGGGGTTGTGTTTGGGGTGGGTAGGAGGGGCTGTCTGTGTGTTTGTGTAGTGTTTTGTGTCGTGTGTGTGTCTGTGTTTTGTGTTTTTGTGTTTTTAGCTTTGGGGTACTGAGGGCACCCCATATAGCTGGCGGGGTGTGGCCCGGCGCAATTTGCACACCTGGCGGGCGTGTCTTTGGCCTTTTTGCATACGTGCGTGCTGTGGTTTTCGCCACATTTTACGCACTTTGGCTCAGCTGTGCACCGGGTCTGGCCGTGGCCGAACCGCTGGCACCGGTGGCACTGTGTGGCAACCCGCTGCTTTCGCTGCAGCTCTACTCGAACCACGAGCGAGCAGCAGCGGGTTACCTTCAGGATGTCCTCCTGGTCCTGTGGGGCCTGAACTAGGACCAGGGGCATTTCCTGTTTATTTTGACGGCTCGCCATGCGGTGCACTATTGCGCCGGGGAACCCTTGTCTTGCGAGGTCGAGTTGGACCTCACTTGGCGAAACACCCGCAGGTATTCCGCGTATCACCACCCTCAGCGTTTTTTCTTCGCTGAGGGTGAAGGTGTGGTACTCCTCGCCTTTGTCTGTCAGTGTCTTTGTCAATAGTCTGTGGTCATTAGGTGTGTTTGGGTATATGGCTATACCGTCTTTAGTCAATTTGGCTTTTGTGTAGTTAATGTTAAGTGTCGTGAGTATTTTTTGTACTTGCGTCCACCGTTCTTGCTTTCGCAAGATTACCGGGGGGACTTGTTTGGTTTTGTCTGTCTGTTTTTGTGTGTTTTGTGGGGTATTTTGTAGGGCGCTTGTGGAGGGTGTAGGTGTCGGGGGGCGCGTGTTTGGTGTTTGTGGTCGTGTTTTGTTTGTTTTGTCTGATTTTTTAAGTCTGGGGGCTTCGTCCTCGCTAGAGGATTCCGCTGTGTGTTTTTTGCGTTTCTCTGTGCGTGTGTGTGTGGGGTGTGTGTGTGGGGGGTGTGTGTGTGTGCCTGTCTGGGGTATATTGTCTGTCATTTGTTTGTCGATAAGTTTGTCGAGTTTTTGGTGTAATTTAGTGGTGTTTTCGTCCGAAAGTTTAATTGTTTTTTGCAAATCGACGATTTGCTGTGTCATGGTTAGTATTTGTTGGTATTGTCGGGTGTTTTGTTCTGTCAGTTCGTGTATTTGTTGTTTTAGCGTCTCGTTTTCATGTTTTTGTGTTTGTAACTGTTCGTATAAATCTGTTTTATTGGTCATATTTTTTGGTGAAGCGGAGACTCTTGAAGAGGGTCTTTCGCTGTCTGTATCGTCCATGTATATGTATATGTTCTCCTCGTTTTCGGAGTCCGACATGTTGTGCGTGTGTTCGTGTGTGTGCGTGCGTGTGTGTGTGTGTGCGTGTGTGAGGGTGTGTAGGTGTTAGTCGTGTGGGGATGCCCCCTTACGGGGGCGTACGTGTCTTTTGGTGTATTTGTCTGTCTGGTATATTGTTTGTCGGGAGTCGCAATTTTAAAGAAATGTATTCTATAGTAATGCAAATAACAGATAAATAAGTAAAAGTGGGACTTACCTGGGCATAACCCCGGCACAGGTACCTGTAACAAAGATGCCGACGGCCTCTATGCTTAAGCCGGGGATTAGGTCGGTGATTAAGAGGAAATAAAGGGATTCTTTCCAGGTAGCCTTAATAAAGGCAGGTAAATTTTGCTCCTTGCACTACACTTTCACAAAACACGTGTGCTCTGCTCGGCTGCCCGCTCGGAACTGGCTTTTTTATTGAAGTATGTAACTTTCTTTAAGTCACACCCTATATAGAGCAGCCATAATCAACCCTTTTATGGGTTTAGGGTTTCCACAATATTATGGATTTTATGAACTCCTTGGTTTATTATTTCCTTTTTAGTGCATTTTAATAAAAGCTTTTTAAAATATTTTTTTTTTATTTTTCAATTATTTTAGCATTTCCATTTAAAATGAAGAAGTGATTTCCCACGCAGTATCACATGTGACGTTGCAGTTACATATTACTACATATTATTATTTTTTGTAATTTTTTTTATTGATCTATAAGATGAACCTATTTAATTTTTTGAAAAATTGTAAGTAAAAAGTTGAAGATCAATTTAATAAATGCCATATAAGTCCTTTAAGCACTTTGGAAGCTTGATGATTTGTTTTTCTAGATATCATTTGTTACCAATAATATGTGTACCAAACTTCGCTTAACTGCAAAAAGTTGTGGTAAAATAGTAATTTTAAAAAAAAATAACGTTAGTAAGGTTTTGTATCTCTGTGAATAATGAATTTTTTAATAAGTGTCATAAGATTTAACATTTTATTATGCGTAGTCATCCTCTAAATTATTTGGTCACAGTTTCTGAATACCCGATATATTAGTAATTTTATTATACTAATAATTCATAAGTTGTGATGCTTGTGTACTTTTTTTATGCGGGACATATTCCTTTATTTCAGGCTTGTATAGACGACAACCTGGATATGGTAGAATTTCTTGTGGAACATGGAGCTGATGTTAATAGAGGAGACAACGAAGGTTGGACACCTTTACATGCCACAGCTAGTTGTGGTTTTTTATATATCGCTAAATATCTTATTGACAAAGGTGCCAATATTGCAGCAGTCAATAATGACGGAGAACTTGCTGTTGACATAGCTGAATGCCAAAAAATGGAAGACTTACTTAAAGAAGAGATAGATACGAGAGGTATGATATGAATATAATATGTATATACGAGGTCTGTCCCAAAAGTATCCGACCTTCCTTCATATTTCCCCGCTGGTTTCTGCATCATCGGGTTTGTGGCATCCCTCGAAGTAGTCCCCTTTTGATGGAAAAATACACTCCCAAGGTCCTTTCCACTTTTGGAAGCAGTCTTGGAACTCGTTTTTTGGTTTCACCTTTAGAGCGTTGGTCGTATTAGTTTCCACTGTTTCTTTGTTATCAAATCCATGTCCTTTGAGCGGGAACAGCCAAAAATCGTAGGGAACTTTGCACTCTCACGAACCATTTGCAAATTTTCAGTTAAAATCTTCTAAACACTAGTTTTTGGTTCGAAGATCTTCATTGATCGCAGGTCGCACACATTCGATGTTATCCGGTGTTTTTATCATCGTAGGCCGCCCAGACCATGGGTTACTATTAACAGATGTGCAGACATCTTGTATCTGCAGAAAAATGAACGTGATGCTAACAGCGTTCTTTGATATCCGAGGAATTGTGCATGAGAAATACGCACCAGATGGACAAACGGGACAAAGAGTACACCTGGTTGGCGAAAAATTGGCAGTTGCATCAATGAATGCTCCAGCTCATTCATCACAACTGACATAGACTTTTTTGACAAAATCTCCCTACTCTCCAGACATGGCCCCTTGCGACTTCTGGTTGCTTCCGAAATTGAAGATGCCATTGAAAGGATCCCATTTTCAGAATAAAGAAGAGATAACGCAGAACGGGATGGCAAAGTTGAACACCATTCCAAAAGAAGCCTTCCAGAAGTGTTTTTGGCAGTGGAGGAACGGTGGGCTTAGTGTGTCGAGGAGCAAGGGGCCTTCTTTGAAGGGAATTAAAATCCCAATCCTGTCATGTAAAAAATATTTTTCCCGGCCGAAGGTCGGATAGTTTTTAGACAGACCTCGTATATAATAATATCACCTTTTTAAAAATAGTTAAGGTACTTTTTCTAAACTTAAACTTTGAATTACTTTTAATTTCATTAAGAAATTTTTATGATTCAATAGTTATCATCTTTCTGAAGTCAGTTGAACTTGTATAAAAACGCCTAGCAATAAAATTTAATGAGTTTCATAGGCGTCCCTGAAAAAGTTTTCTGCTAAAGATAAAAAATAATAATTTGTATGTAATGTGTAGAAAATGTCTATTACGAGTATATGTTCATTTGGTCAACAACATATTTTAATTATTTCTATCCTTTTACAATTTTATTATATTTAGGAATGGGAAAATTCCCGAACTATGAAAATTCCCGGAATGTTTCAGAAAATTTTCAAAAATTTTTTTTTTATTTAGTATTGTGTTCTACATACCATCAGCTTTCCAAAGAGACCAAATACATATACATTTTTGTTTATATTTGTATAAATATTGTAAAAATATAAATTACACAGCCCCACAAAAAAAATAAAGGTCATGATCTGGATGATTGACCTTGGTATTCCTATGTGTTTTTCAACGCTGAAACTGAATCCGAGGTCAAAAAAATTCGTATACCCCTTAAATTTATGTGTAGAGCCAAAAACATCCCTTAAATAGGGGTGAAGTTATGATTATCAGTATCATTACGTAAAGGAGTACGAATGGGCACTTTGCCACCCTCGTGTTCTCATTTATTATCGCCAAGGGCTCTCCCGAAGGGGTTGGTACGCCCTGTACTGAACATAGATCCGTGTCATGAAAGCTTCTGGCTTACAAGCTCTTGAGAATGCTAGGGAGATATGGTTGATGGTGAACACAGGTAAAGAACAAACCCCCTAGAGGGGCGAAAACTACCCTCTGCTGAACGGGGTGGAAGAAAATGTGGGAGAGCAAATATTTCTTGTTTTTACTATGCAATGATCGCAGTGTACTGAGCAGAACAGCCCACAACTGCTTTGCCCGTACCCATCTATAAAAAATTAAAATTTAAAAACTCTGTAGGTATCTCGGAAACGAAGCATATTTCAACCTACATTTATATGAAATTTTTTCACAAAATAACTTCGGCAACCACCCCCTAAAATATCTCGCACTTATTTACAAACAATTATATTATTTAATGTATAGTACAACACATGCTGATATATACCTAGATTTTATTTAGACATTATCTTTAGGTATCATATACTACTGAAAGGGGTAATGTTTATGTTTCCTTAAATATATGTTATTATAGAAATAAGGTAGAGGTACTAGAAAAAAAAAAGACTTATTTTATTACTTAAAAAGCGCCTTTTGGATTTTAATGGGCTTTGTTGTAGTAAAAGTACATACTCTAAAGAGTATCTAGAATTTTTTTGGTTTGTATATTAGAACTTGGAAAAAAATTATCAAAATTATTTTCCATTTTATTAGACCATTGAAATCATGTAAAATTCTGAAAAAAATCTATAATATTCTCTTTATATTCCTCAAAGAGAAAAATTAATTTGAAAAATAATAATCTCTGCACGTTATCTCAAATACCGGTGTGAAAAAAGCAGCTAAAGATAGCTGTCAAATCCTACGAACCTACCCGAACGACCATAGACGTACGTATCAAGAGGTGTGAGAGATATGAGCACGGTGCATGCGCATTAGTTTCATTGTAAACATACATGAAATTTGAAATTAAATTCAAAACGGTATGAATGCTATAAAATACCAGAATAAAGAAAAAAATATTACAAAAGTACAGTTACAACGTTCTCATTTTATAGTTATACTAAATGTATAAATTAATATTTAGAACAATTGAAATTTTGAACTTTTTATAAAATATGTGTGTTTGTATATGTTTATTCGCTTAGCAAGCTATTATGAAGGTGGATACCAGTGGATTATCTGCTTATGAGCAACTTGCAATGAGTTCTAGATGAAGAACTATCGGAAATTTCAAAGAAACTTCCGTTCTCCCCAAACTACGTTCAGGAACATTTTTTTAGTTTAGTGATAAAATTACTAAGGTGCTAAAGCCTATATTATGAGTGATTTGCATTGGATTTCAGTGACTGAAATCGAAGGAAAACTGCTAGAAATTTGATGACTAAGCTGAACTGCTGCAATGCTTCTTAAAAACTGACCAGTCAATTTTTATTTTAACACTGCATAACACATATTTGTATCTGTGCATCTTGAAATTGTAATAAAGTTTCTATTATCAAAATGCATCCAGGAGCTAAAAAGTCTATTGTTTGGAACTATTTTAAAAAAACACAAGATAAGACAGTGACATCCAGCCTATGTAAAAAAGTGTTAAAATATTTCGGAAGTGCCACTTTGATGCAACATTTGCTAAGAATTCATCCCATTGCAATTCAACAAGATAAACAACATCCACAAGAACAAAATAATGTGGAAGCTCGTGAAACTTCAAATCTCAGATTAGGCGAACAAAGAAAATTACCAGATCCAGAAACTGTTGGAATTTCTTCCAACAATAACAATAATACCTCATTATTAAATGAATATCCAAGTCCGTCTGGCATTTCCAATGAATCACAATTTTCAGAACGTCGTCCGAAACAAATGAAACTTTATGGTGCCCAAAATAAGACTGAACTTTCGCCTGCTGAAATTGCAGATATTGATCTTAAATTAATAAAAATGATTGTTACGGATTTCCAACTCCTCTCTGTAGTAGAAAATCAAGGATTTTTAGAATATTCTCGTCAATTAAATCCTCTTAACAGAAAAAAAAAATCAAATGAAATTCTACCCAAAGTTTATACAGAGGCGGCTTTAAATCTTAAGGCAATTTTAAGCAATGTCGGGCACATGGCCATAACAACTGATAATTGGACATCAGAAAATAATATAGGCTATATAACGGTTACCTGTCACTTTATTAAAGACGACAAATTATACTCACGTCTGTTAGCTATGCTAAGACATGGCATTGTTTTCGTCATCTGGGTCCCACACTGGAGAAAATTTAGGTAAGGCCATTACAACAATCTTAAATGAGTGGGATATTTTTAATAAAATAGTTACTGTAATATCCGATAACGCGGCTAACATAAAAAATGCTATAAATGAACATTTAAGAATGCACCATCATCCTTGCGTAGCACATACATTAAATCTTAGTATAACTGGTGCTCTGAAAGAAAATGTAGAATTAAATGATATTTTAAAAAAATGACGAGCTTTAGTAACTTTAAACACAGCGTCCTAGCTACAGAAAAATAAAAGTTCACTCAACAAAAAATGAATTTGCCAATTTTGAAGGTGAAGCAAGACGTTTCCACAAGATGGAATTCTTGCCTTATAATGCTCGAAAGACTTTTTAAAATTAAGGATGCTCTCTGTGTTGTCGTGTCAGAACTTCCCAAAGTGTCAGATTTCTTAAATGCCAATGAATGGATGATATTGCAAGATTGCGTTAAAATTCTAAAGCCTGCCGAAGACATGACCATAATATTATTCGCAGAAAAATATCCCACGATATCATCGGTTATTCCTTTGTATAGAGGATTTCAATGTGTTTTAAGCAATGCTAGAGCTGAAACTGAAGTTGGTGAAACACTAAAAACTATTCTTTTGGAGATCATAAGTGTAGGCTCGGAGGACATGAGATCAATAAAATTGTTGCCAAAGCCACATTTCTTGATCCTAGATTCAAAAAATTCGCTTTTGGTCTAGAAGGTAATGCTAATAATGCCCAAAAATGGGTCACAGTTAGGACAACTTCTGTCTAATAAAAGTTCCACACCAGTGACAACTGAGGAGTTTGTTTCCGGAATTACTTCGAATGATTCAAATGTAGTAGACAATATATGGGCACATTTTGACAAAAAAATATCAAATATAAAAACAACTTCCACGAGTTCAGCTATGGTGATTGTAATGGTGCGACAGTACATAGAAATGCCTCTCTTAGAAAGAACAAAAAACCCTTTTGAATTTTGGTCAAAACACAAGAATTTATTCCCAGAATTGTATGAAATGGCAATTAAATATTTGTGCATTCCTGCAACATCAGTTCCGTTAGAAAGGGTATTTTCTAAATCCGGTCAAATAACTAGTTCGAGGAGAAACCGACTGTTGCCTAAAAATGTAGACACTATAATATTTTTACATTAGCAAATGTAGGGGTCACGAATTTGATCTTGTAAAATCATTTTTCAAACATTCTTGTCAATTGTGATATTAGGTTATTTTTAAGTACGTAGTTTATTTTATTTCTGTTAAATAATTTTGGAATCGATGTACCTGTCATAGATTAATTTTATTTTTAATCAAAAATGATTTATTTTTGTTATTATTAGAGGCACAATGTATTATTTATTTTTTAATATTTTATTTTTGTATTTTTATATTTATATTTCTATATAATATATTTATTTTCATCCCAATAATTTATTTTTTTTATTAGTGATTTCCCCATCTATCCTCCAAAGAATTTAAATTTCACGCGAATAGGAGTAAAATAACTCAAGGCGTGCGGCAGTCTACTGTACTCGCCTACCCTCCGTACACGCTAGGAGCTAGGACATGAGAGAATCGACTCAAGACCATATACCTGATTCGACCGATTATTATTCGACCGCGGTTGGCATCAGCTTCGTGTAGTGACCGATTATCATCCGAATTCTTTTTTAATAATCGGAAGATTTCGATTATTTCAATAATCGGATGATCGATTATTATTCATTCGGATGATCCTATCACTAAACGTCTCATTAAAATTTGGACCCCAAACGGTTCCAGGGTGTGAAAGTGAAGGAAAACTATTGGAAATTTCAAAGAAAATTCGGTATCTCTCAGATTACAATGCGAAGCACTTTTTCGCTTAGTATGCTGACTCTTGAGATGTTAGAGAACATCTCATTAAAATTTGAACGACTTGCATTGTGTTCCAGGGAATGAAATTGAAGGAAAACTATTGAAAATTTCAAAGAAAATTCGGTATCTCGTAAACTACAATCCGAAGCACTTTTTTTGCTTGGTATGCTAACTGTTGATATGGCAGAGAACTTCCCATTAAAATTTGAGTGACGTGCAATGTGTATCAGGGTGTAAAAGTGAAGAAAAACTATTGGAAATTTCAAAGAAAATTTGGTGTCTCCCAAATTATAATCCGGAGCACTTTTTTGCTTAATATGCCAATTTCTGAGACGTTAGGGAATATCCACTACCATTGTCCATTGTCGAATGTCCTTGTCCATTGTCGAATATCCTTGTCCATTGTCTTTGTCCATGTCCAGTGTCCTTGTCCATTGTCCTTGTCCATTATCCATTGCCCTTATACATTGTCCTTGTCCATTGTCATTGTGCAGTGACCTTGTCCAATCTTATTATCCAATGTCCTTGTCCATTGTCCTTGTCCATTGTGCTTGTCCATTGTCTTTGTCCTGGACCATAGACAAGGACAGTGGACAGGGATAATGGATAAGAACAGTGGACAAGAACAATGGACATGGACAATGGACAAGGATAATGGTAGTGGATATTTTGTAACATCTCAGAAATTGGCATACTAAGCGAAAAAGTGCGCCGGATTGTAGTTTGGGAGATACCGAATTTTCTTTGAAAAATAGTTTTCCTTCAATTTCACGCCCTGGAACTCATTGCAAGTCATTCAAATTTTAATGGGTTGTTCTCTGACCTCGCAACAGTTAGTATACGAAGCGAAAAAGTGCTCCGGATTGTAGTTTGGGAGATACCAAATTTGCTTTGAAATGTCCAATAATTTTCCTTCAGTTTCACCCCCTGGAACCCATTGCAAGTCATTCAACTTTTAAGGGGATATTCTCTGATAACTCATGAGGTAGCATCTGAAGCGAAAAAGTGCTTCATAGTGTGGTTTGGGAGATACCGAATTTTCTAGTAGTTTTCCTTCGATTTCATTCTCTGAAATTCAATGCAAATCTCTCATAATATAGCACCTTAGTAATTTTATCACTAAATTGAAAAATGTTTCTGAATGTTTGGGAAAAATTGAAGTTTCTTTGAAATTTCCGATAGTTCTTTTTCATCTAGAACTCGTTGCAAGTTGCTCATAATTTAAGCGGATAATCAGTGGTACCCTCATAGTAGGCTGCTAAACGAATAAACATAGTTGGAAACACGGGGGTTTTCACCCCCAATTAAAACAAATAATTTCAACAATCGGTTTATTCCCTCAAACGACAGAGTTGTCTCTTATTTATTTGCTATGTCGGGACTGTGGTGATTCCCGTGACTGACCGACGTGCTCTCTGACCCCGCGGACTGCGCTCCATCGACTGACATATATGAGCTATATTTTACGATTTACTTTATAAAAAACAACTCAAAATTTACAATTTACAAACATGCTGTCCACAATTTTAAGTTAAAATTAATGAAATAAAAGAAACATGTAATAAAGAATTAAGAATTAAATAAGTTAATTAATTAAATAAGAATTTACAACCCATTAGAGGTCTTAAATATTTAATTTCCAGTTTCCTTTTTATCTGATAATTAAAATTTTTCTAGAGCAATATTTCTTTTAATCACAATCCTTCATGTTACAATATCAAGATTACATTTTCCAATACAAAAAAATTATATTTTTTTAACAATATATTCATATATATTCTTATAACTATTGTATGTATCATTTAATAACTTCTTTAGTTTTGTGTATTATATTTCTTTTATAATAGGAATATATTATGTAATTTATTTGTTAGGACAATGTTCTAATAAAATATTGTTTTCTTAATGTGGTGTATGAGAAAAGATAAATTATCTGTCTACCTACTAAAAATTACTCAATGCAATGTTGTTGATAATAATAGTGATGTATCAGGTTTTTAAGAATGTTTTTAAAAAATTTTACAGCCAATATAAAAGCATTCAGTTATTGAAATAGGAGTATTTAGATGAATATTTGTGTTAACAATTTATTTGATATTTGCTTATTTTAGGAGTAGATTGTGAAGCAGCTAGAAATGAAGAAGAGAATGCTATGTTAAAAGATGCTAAAGGATGGCTTTTGACTAAAAGTTCCTTAGTAAACTTGTCACACCCAAAAAATGGAGCTACCCCACTTCATATAGCATCAGCTAAAGGATATATGGAAGTAATAAAGTGAGTACACTTTTTCTATTTTGTGCAATATATTACAGGGTTTGTAGTGGCCTGGAAATTTTATGTGTGCAACTGGAAATTTTGTGAAAACTGGCCCTGGGTTCTTGAAAGAGAAAATTATTTGTGGTTTTGAAACGTGTATAATAGCTTTTTTGGGTATAAAAAAGATTATTTGAATTATTTAAATTGCTTGAAATCCTCTTCCATGCTGTTTAGAATTTCTAGTCCAAGTTCTCACTCTATGAGATCGTTCTTGTCCAATATTAGAGTTCTGATGCAAATCTCTTAAATGTTGGGCTGGAATAATCCATTTGATATTGTCTTATTGCAGCAACACAACTTTTTTTTGGTTAAAAATAGGCTTTAACCATAAAACTTGTTATTCACATACACATTTTTTCATAATATATAAATTTGACAACGAAGACACAAAAATACATCATACTGTCACTAAACATTGATAATAAATTACTATAATGTTATACATTTTTACTCTACACAAACACTTTACTAAATACCACTTTAAATTTGATTATAAAATTAAACTATTTAAACCAATTAATACTTAATAAATATTAAAAATTAATATAATTAATTATAATTAATATTAATAAATATAAATTAAATTAATATTAATAGTAAATATTTTCTGTAATATCTCCATAATCGAGCATTATTTCGACTTTTGACAGGTCCATTTTTTATGTAGAATAAAATTCTCTATCTATTTCTGATAGTTGCGTGTAAAAATTTAAACGTACAAAAAAGTTACAGAAGAATATTCACAAAGGGTTGTAATAAAATGAACGCCCTTTAACCTAATAGGAACATAATTTCTGCATACTTCATGAAGAGAAACTATGAGCCAAATTTAGAGACTTCCCTAAATCTATACTAACCTTTCACTCATATCAAACTTATACTTCACTCAATTTAGGGTGCCCTCATCTTATTCTCAATTCTGGTATTCAGAAATGTGTGTAAATGATTGGGAAACTAAGCAACAGCAAATTTTGCTCAAATCGGTTAACTGGGTTCTGAGTTAAGGAGAAAACAACAAATAAAAAAAGAAACTTTAAATCCTGTAACTTTTTTGTGCGACATTTTTGGTTAAATCAACACCATTTGGGTTCTAGATTATACCCTTGAAGTATGTAACATTCATTAGGTGACACCCTGTATATTTATAAATATTTTTAGAATATTACTTCAGTGCGGAGCTGATGTAGATGCACAAGATAATGATGGTTGGACGCCACTTCATGCAGCAGCACATTGGAACCAAAAAGAAGCTTGTCAAATACTTGTTGAAAACTTAGCTGACATGGATGCTAAGAATTTTGTTGTAAGTAAAAGAGAATATTTATTATATTTGCTCAAAAAAGAAATCACCGTTTAATTTGTGGTTGTTGTCAATTGTACGAGGGAACTTCTCTCGTATTTAAATATTGGATTTTAACCAACTTTCCACCTCCTCTAATACTGCTTTCATATGTAAACCTCCAACTCTTCCATTGGGTATACCATTACTAAAGAAAAAATTCTATCTTCATTAGGAAAGTTTCAAAGCATCTTTTGGGATGTCAGACTATATTGCTATGTTTTCAGCAAAATGATGGAATTTAATTATTAGTACTTGATACTGTGACACGATAGTCAAAATTCACATAATTTGAAGCCAGCCAACTTATATGGATATTTGGTTGAGAGTGATGAAAACGTTGATGTCAATTTGTGACTAAACGGTGGGGTTTATGGACGCGGATTAAGAGTACCTTATATTTTATGTTTTTTATTTACTTTAAAATGACAATTTGGGTTTTACCACATCAATCGAAATAAAAAAATTATAGTGGAAATATTATTTAGGTTTCTGGTAAAGCGCACTGTAATGGCATTATAGAGAAAAAATTTTATATTAAAATTTTGTAGTTTATCAAGAGTAGTTCATGTGACGAATATTAAATTGATTGATTGAAGAATAAATTTAATATGATCAAAAAATTGAAATAAAAACTTAACTTTGAAACCCTGTAACATTTTGTCAAATGATATTGTATTGTTAATGAAAGACTCTTTTTATTTGTGGACTGTATTTTTTATGAAATCAGATATAAACAACTTCTGTGAAGTATTTTGACAGGCTTGCAGAAGCCGCAATTCGTAGGTCCTTTTTTATTGAGATCGGATTCAAAAATTTTCTGATGGTAATATGCCAGTAAACAACTACTCAAACAAAAAATTAAAAACAAAACCGCTACGTCTTGACCAGATATACTAACACTATTTTGCCGTGTGAAATCTCGCCTTAAAATTTCCTAACGCAATTTGCTAACACCCTGTATACTGTATAAAAATATTTATAATTTTTAACTCATATTTTAGGGTCAGACGGCTTTTGACTTATCAGAATCTAATATAGCAACATATTTGGAGGAGCTTAGGAAAAATCAAAATAAAGAGGTTATAAATATGAGACAGTCTAAGAAGAGAGCAGAAATTCGTGATAAATGTTCAGAAGCTGAAACACCAAGTAAAGTTAAAAAGGTGGAAATTGAAGTATCAGATGAAAATCAAGTAAAAATAACTGAACCAATTGGTAAGTTTGAAATTAATTTTAATGTTTGTAATAATTGATTTTGATACAGTAAAAATGCAACATGTACGAATTATTTCGATTGGATATGAATTGAGCGAAAAGGCTCGACTCAAAGAAAACTTTAAAATAGAAGACTGAATCAAACAAATACAGTGTAAATAAGGTATTTGTTGACCTATTCTGAGTTTTGATGGAACTTAAAAAATTCTGTTATATCACATTTTCAATTATCAGAGCCTACTTTTTATTTTTGTCAAATACAAAAATTGGTTAACAAATTTTTTTTTAATTAAAATGTGGTTTGTACCTAATTTTGTGAAAAAAATATTCATTACTCATTGTAAAATTAATATTAAAAGTTTTTATCATTTCTTTTTTTCCTAAATGGGATAAGTAACCTGTGGAATCATACATAAATAAAATGCACAGTCAGTCTTTATGTATTGTTCATGGCTTGTACCGATATTTGTCTGTTTTACTATTATTTCCAATTGTAGTTGGTTCATCTATACCTCCCAGTCGAAATTATAAAAGTGACTCATCGCTAGCTCTTGAACTAGTAAAGATGAAGTGTACGCGGATTGAAAGTCCATACATGTATCTGTTTAGAACGCTGCAAGATATAGAAGATATGGAAAAAAGATAATAAAACATAACATCTATTCTTTTTACTAAGAAAACTTCATATTTTAGAAACATTTTGTTTATTAAATTTTAAGTGTTTTCTATAAAACAATGCCCTCTTGGACATCGATAACCCACCACCACCCGGCTTACGCCGCTGCAGGATATTGTAAACTACATATTAATATATTTAAGTACTTACATATTTTATTTTATAATAATTATCTCACAGGAATATTATCACTCACATTTTCCCTTGAATATCTCACTTTCACTTTACTGCCACTTATTCACTTCACTATCATCCTGTCACTATACAGGGTGTAACTTTAAGTGGGGATCATATTTACACAGAGGCTACCTTTGACCTTTAGAAACACGTATCAATAGTTTATTTTTTGAAATTCCGTCGTGAAAATCTCATAATTTAAAGAAAAGATTATTAAAAGCTCTTTCTTGAGGCTTTTTCATAATATCACTTAAAAACTACAAAAAGAAAACACAATACACTGGACCGTTACTAAATACTGAAATAAATAACTTTATAAGGTTATACACTTACAATACACAACGATACTATACAAACAGCTTTTAACAAAACGATATAGTCAAATACTAAATAATAATGTAAGAGAGGATATATTCGGTCAATCCCGTTCCGCCGAATTTGCGTGACAGTTTGTATTTAACGCATTTACTCGTCATATTAGAACACCTGTGTTGCGTCCGCAAGTAATAATTTAGTATTAATATTAGATATTAAGTATTTTTCTTTAAAAACTATTGAATTGATTGATTCATTGGAGAAATTTGTTGTGTTGGCAATTATAGTTTTCGCGTTTTTTGTAATATTTATTTTTTTTGTATAAAGTATTTTTACCTCCCGGGAAAAAAGGTTGCAAGCGGCACTTCGAAAACCGACTCGTTTGTGTACGCACGCTGATTGACTGTTAAGTGAATTTTCGTTAAAATCTAACAAGAAAGAAACTGGAAGCTACAGGCCATTACCAATGTACATTGCTCCAGCAGAGCTGCATCATCGGTAAGTCGCTTTGCAACCAGTCGTTATTATCTTTTCGTAATCAGTTTTTGTTTATTCACATACAGTCCGCTAAATTCGTAACAACCTGCAACATGTAAAACAAAACCGCAAAGGGTTTCCTACGTTGCCTCCCCACCCCCTTCGTAAGCGTATTTTTTACATATGTGTCGCTTGTACGTATAGGTCAGTGTTACAGGTCATTGACACACTGACATTCAAAAGTAACATATACGCTGCTTAAAAAAACAATGACACATAAATCTTTGTAGAAACTTGAAACAATTAAAAATATGTTTTCATATTAATCATATTAGTATTTTCATTTATTTTTTTGTTAGTTTTTTTTAAAACAGCAAAAATAATTATTTTAAAACACAAAAATACAATTAGTAACGTATACCAATATTGGTTAATACGTAATAAATCATGTAAAAATTAAAAATGGTTGAAAAACAATTTTTTTGATGTTTGGCGCTTCTTCCACATTTACATAAAAAATGTGGTGACTGAAATAACATGTCATAGAAAAGCAATCTGTTTTCACTAAATTATTTTTCATTAGTTTTACTGCGTAGGAGTTGATGAAAAAATTTGTTTACAATTTGTAGCATATCTACGTACAAATATTAGTTAATGTATTTAATAAATCATGTAAATCTTTATTTTTTTTATAGTTTTTTTACAAGTTCGAATTTTCTACCACAATGATATCAAAAAAATGTGATGACTTTAAAATAATAAGTCAGTAAATTATACAAATACAATCTGATTTGCTAAATTATTTTTTAACTCCGCACGATGTAGTTGGTATAAAAGCAATTGGCAACGCCGGCAGTGAGGAATACAACTTCATATTGAGGCTATGAGCGGCAAAATGACCTAATCCACAAATATGACATTGTGGCTTAATCAATGCAAACACTTTTTTACCATATAACTTTTAGATGCAAATGAGCCGAAGCCACCTTTGGCTTCGAAACGCTAGATGGCACAGGTAGTATTGTTTTGGCAAATATAAAAGGTTGCGAATCTTTAATGGTAAACCGGCCTAAGCTTCATAATTTGTAGTTTAGGCCGTTAAAGTATATATTGTTAGTAATTTCTTTCCGTATTGTTAACCGTAGTAGATACAGTTATTATGGAATCGAAAAAAGACAACTGACGGTGAAAAAGTATCTTGGTTGCAAATTCAATGGCTACAGTTTACGAAAGAAGAGCCGTTTTTAATTAAATACAAAACTTCCAATAATGAGTTCGTGGAGTTTATAACAGTAGACATACGTAAAAGACGTGCATCTAGAGCAGTTTCTGTAAAGGATTTGAATATTTTATATCCCAATGGTCATCTAATAGATGTAAAAAAAAAGAAAAACTTGTTGGAACTGACAATATATACCGCCTGTTTATTTAAATTTTTACCAGAGCCTACAAACAGCTGAAAATGCATCAGAAGATTTCATAGATGTTGAGTTCAGCGAGAATGAAGAAATCCTTGAGCTGTAAGCTGCAGTTGTTTGCAAATTAGTGCATATCATTATTTATTTATGTTTTACATTGTATCTTAGTTTTATTATTTTTCTTTCTGAAATAAACATAGTTTGTCTACATGCCTATAATTTAATTTGTTGGCATATCTGATTTTTCATAAATTACTTTATGCTAAAATGGCCTAATCCTCATTTTTTTACAAAAAAACAAAAAATTGCAAATTTAAGAACTTCACTTCAACTATTAGTCTATTAACTACGTTAAACTAATTAAAAATCGATAAAAGTTTGTTTTATTTAGTGCTTACAAAGTATCATGCTTTTCTACATTTTTTATTTGTTCATTTTACGCAAAACTTATTTTTTGGGGTTAGGCCATTTTGTAGCTCATAGCCTCAATGTAAATTCCGGGGGCACTCGTTTACTCTGTTCAGTGGTGGCGTACACAACAATTAAAGCGCAGTTTAAAAAACTAATTATAACTCGAGTATTTATTTGATTAAAAAAAAAATAATTTCAGATTCGTATTCGGGAACTATGTACTATTTCACGTAAAAAGTGACCCCACTTAAAGTTACAGTCTGTATAGGAAAATTTTCTCATACTGTTTTAATTGTCATTGTTGCTATCACTGTCACGACTAATCTTCCCTTAAATGAATTAATGAGTGGTTCTATGAAAACTTCCACTTCCACTTGTATCATGATTAATAGCCTCCTGTAATACCAATTTTACTTCGTTTATTTTAAGGGTGGTGCTTTTTCGTGCGATTTCATTTTTCATTTGTGCCCAAACCAACTCAAATGGGTTTAATTCACAGTGGTATGGCGGTAAATGGAGTATATGCATTCTTCGAGCTTTTACCATCTCATCCATTACATACTTAATGACATTTTTCTATTTGGACAATTTTTAATAATTGTACTTTTAACATGGTCTGTATATTCATTGCTTTTTGATTTTACTAGTTCATAATATTTGCTTTTCTCCATGCTGATGTCGCTAACATTTCGAGCCTTCTGCTATGGTGCGTTATTGCATTTTTATCAACGAACTACCAGAGCTGGGTAATTACTTGTAATTTAAAAATAGTTACAATTACAAATTACTTTTTAAAAAAAGGAACTAATTACAATTACAAAGTATATTCTTTAAAAAAGGAATTATATTAATTTAATTACAGTTACATGGAAAATGGATTTAGCAATTACTTTTCTAATTACTTTTCTAATTAAAAATAAAAAAATTACGAATCAAATAAGTACGAGTGAAAGGCTGAGTAACCGAACCAGAAGTTTTCTCAACTCAAAATAAGAGCAGTAACATAGATACATAATATATATTTTTATAAAACTTGATGCTATAGACAACATATTTTTACTTCGTATATTTTCTAAATTAATAATAATTATAATAAAATAAAATGTACTCTGTTAATTCTGAGGTTAATTCAAATCACTTATTATTGTTCACGCGGCACAAGGCTTTCCTCAACTGAAATAATAGAAGTCTGCAAGTCTGTACGCAATTACGCAATACGCATGATCTTAAAAGTAATTATAATTAATAGAAAAAGTAATTGTAATTGGAAAAAGTATTTGTACTTATATAAGTAATTTGTAATTCGATAGTTCAAATAATATAATTACAAATTACAATTCCTATAACAATTTTGCTGCAATTACAATTCCAAATTACTTTAATAAAAAAAAGTACTTAAATACAATTACAATTACAGGGAAAAAAAGGGAATTGTAATTGCTAATTACTTTTTCACCAGGAATTACCCAGCTCTGCGAACTACACATATCAATAGCTCCACTTACACTTGTAATAGAGTTTCGCGCCTGAATTCCTTGTAATGTTTTTTACCATTATAAATTCCGCATCGTGTAGGTTAGGGTGTTTATGAGCAACAGAGCGTTTACTACAACCAGCACTTTGATCAATTTTAATTAATACTACGTTTTAAAATGTCCCAGTTGTATTTTTTTAATTTATAAATTTATAGCCATTATAGCTCCTCGCCTACGCTTATGGCATTTCTAGCGAGGGCTAAATCAAGTACTACATACGTCCGTTTACACCCACTGAAAAAGCATTTCCCTAAGTATTAATAAGTGCAAACGACAGAAGTAGAAGATAGATCGACGTTCAGTGTAACTCAGTCTATAGACGACTATTATAGATCCTATTGAGGTGCATAGAGAGCGGCACATCATTTATTACAAGACAAATAATATTGAACCATTATTAAAATCATTTTATATTTTATACGATTTATGGTAATAGTGTTTTTATATTATATCTGAGTCACTCTCTATAATTTCGACCGCGAAATATAATCAATTTCTGCATCTTGTTGCTTTACGGTTTGATACAGAAAAGCAATAAACACTAAACACAAAAAAAAATATTTTTTTGCTTTTTTGATTATTGTTTAAATTTTTATTTGTAACACTCATCAATTTCATAAATGCCAAAACTAAGGAAATTATGAAATGCATCACCTTAAGGGGATATATCACTTTGGAGTCGAAAAAAAAGGATATTTTCAAGAATTTTTTTTGAGCATTTTTTTATAATCATGAACTACCAATACACCAATTCATTAAGCAACTCTTCAGATGTAAGAAAAAATTTTTTTATTTGAAAATTTCTTGCAAAATGGCGGCTATAGAAGAGCATGAACAAAACTACATTTTTCAAAGGTCCTTCGTGGCGAGCAGTAGAAGTCTCTTGGATCACCATCTGGAAGCATACAAAAAATTTTTTCATAAACTTCATGAGTTTAGCTAGTGAAGTACAGACGATCATAATTGTAGGAATTTTTTTCGCAAATTGGCGAGATATTGAAAAAGACTCGAATTTTTGACAAAAAAATCAACTGATTGTTTATAAAAAAAATCCTGTTGACCATTTGTAAAAATTGTATGTACTTCACTAGATAATCACACGATGAAGTTACAGTTCAATTTTCAAGTCGATTGGATGAAAACTCTTCGAGTTCTGCTGCTTGGCGATTTCCAAAACATGGTTTCGGGAAGAACGCGTTTGATGTTTGAGAATGCTGTAACTTTTGGAAATCATAATAATATGGTACATACAAATTTTTTTACCATCACTTTGCTATCCCGGCACCATATAATTGCTGGGGACCGCCTAGCCGGGTATCTTGGCCGGCGGATTTCGATCTGCCGAGGCAAGCATCACGGACGTGGGCTGGAATTTGGATGGGTGACCTAAGGCAGGCTCGGGGACGTGGCTGTGGCAGCCTACCAGAGACCTGGGTCGCCCAACATTTGCCGCACGCGTGTGGTCCCCGATAAATGGTAATGAGAACAGAGCAAGAAAATCTCTGTAATGCAAGACCATGCTATCATACATAAACTGTATGAGAGACTTTGCCACCAAGCCATCCGTGAAGTAAAATAGGATGGTTTGAAGAAAAGTACTCGAGTAATGAAGGAGGGTGTACAAGGGGCCTAATAAGGCTTAAGTGCCGCGGTGGGAGACAATTCCACCACCCCTCCGACATACATACATACATACCATATAATTGCTCTTCCATGGTCGTATTTTGCTCTTCCTGCTCTTTTCATGGCCATGAAGTCAATGAAACGATACCCAAAAGACTCATTTACTTCTCTTTCACACATCATGAAGTTTTGAGTTTCTTTGCCGACACGCTCACGAACTCCGGATCGCACTCGAATGAATGATGATTAGGCGGATGTCTATTTCCAATTTTACTTCGCTTACGGGCTGTACTACGATTTTTACTGCCTTTACGGCCTACATACAATTTATCACTGATATTTCATCACTGCACACAAATCAACAAAGTCAAATAATAACACAAACACAATAATAGCACAACTCGAACTACAGCGTACAGCTGATTGACAATGCACGTACTTTAACCATCGTAAAAAATATTATATTCAGTATACACGGCTGGAAAATCCACATGGTCCATCTGCCTGTACATGAGAGTGACAAAGTAAAGTAAAGAAATTCATGCAATAAACAAGGATGGCTATAGTGAAGACGTTTCATAATCTGAAGTCACCGCCTGTATCTATTCAGATTGTAAAACGTTTTCAATATAACCTTCCTTGTCTATCACACGGATTTCTTTATTTTGTCGCTCTCGTGTAAAGGCAGATGGATCATGTGGATTTTCCAGCCGTGTTAATAATGTTTTTTTTTGCTTGAGATGACATCTATGGTTCACTTTTGAAGTATTTTCTCGATGATCGGTAAGATATAGACGTTTTTAGGTGCATGAAATTAAAAATGCTGTATCGAGTTTTTTCATGCAAAAAAGTTTTTTATTATGAATCTAAGAATATTTTAGTGTACTTTACGCCAATAAAAAAAATTGAAAAAAAATTTTTCAGTGATATAACCCCTTAAACATTACTAGCATCCCATTGTTTAGATGCATACAGTCAATGACAAACAAATATTAACATTTTCAAAACAATTTCTTTCTAATCTATACATGCTGTTATTATAATTAGTAAACAACAAGTGAAAAAGGTGCATATGTATTTGAAAATATCTTCAAAATTTCAAATCCTACGCCTGCTACGATTTTTTTGTACGGCCAGTTTTTAAAAAGTTGTATTGGCCAATTTTTTTTTTTTTCTAAAAATAATACCACTTTATTTCTAAACTTCTTGGAATGGCCCATTATTTTTTTTTTTCAATTAAAAATTAAATAATTGCAAATTGCAAATTTGCCTCGATATTTCAATATTAATTGCGAAAAAGTTAATTGATAAAAAAAAAAAGAAATAATGAGCTCCAAAATTGCTAGCAAATTATCTTCTGTAAAAAAAATGTTTTAAGTAAATGAAATTGAACATACAAATTTATTGTTATTAGATTTCATATAAAAAAAATTACTAATATAATTTTTCAAAAGGCTTCCAAAAAATTTAAACTGGCACTTGGAGAAGTATTTAGTTATATGCAATTTTAGGGTTTGTTTAATAATAAAAAAATTCTTGTGCATTTTACTAGTGATATTAATAGCTGATCCTATAAACTAGGCCACCCTATATGGACCCAAATATTTTTCATCAACATGTAAGACTTTATCTTTTACAGATTCCTCAAATATCGAAGTTCCATTAAAAGAAATAAAGAATACACAGATCAATGAAGAGTAAGTATCAAATTTTATATTTGTGTGTTTTCGCATATATTTCATGTGCACGGTCGATACACATCGAGTACTCAGGCATTTCTGCATCGCATATTAAGCATAACAAATAAACGCATTTCTGGTTAATAAAAATGGTAAGTTTTGATTATTTTGGGTTGTGCTGTAGCCGCTACAATTTGATATCCAGAATGGCTTCCAGAACTATACAGGGTGTTTCCTAAGTACGGTCGTAACTTCTGGTCACGATTTCCTATGGTATTTAAGGATGAAAAGTTCCTATAAGCATGTGGCCGGAAACGCTTAGATTCCGAGATACAAGGCATTGAAAATTTTAAAAAGTATATAAATATTTCACATACAGGGTGTCCCGAAATTCATGCAACAAAATTTGGTTATAGATTCTTAAGATAAATTTAGGGGACCCATATTTTTTCTTTTTGCCAATTGGCCCCCTTTTTCGGAGTTATAGCCCCCTGAAATCTGCCCCTAAGAAGTCTTTTATATCTCAAAACCATGTACGAGAATCACTAAATTTGGTACACAGGGGTAGAATCTTACAGTGCTACGCATTTTGGTGAGAAACCCCCTTAAGACTTTATTTCGTGGGCCCCCTTGTCTTTGGAACTAGAAAAATTTGGTCGCAAATTTGATTTTTTTTTTTTTGTTAGCTAGAAAGCCATTGGATTTAGAAACTTTTTTGTCTCTTGATATTTGTTTCGTAAAACGCAATGTTTTTGAGGAAAATGGCAAATCACAATATACATTCGATCACATTTTGACATTTTTCTCGAAAACATTGCGTTTTATGAAAAAAGTATAAAGAGACAAATAATTTCTAAATTTAATGGCTTTCTAGTGGACTGATAATTTTTAAGAAATTTAAATTGCGACCAAATTTTTTTGGCTTCAAAGACAAAGGGGCCCAGGAAAAATTGTCTTAAGGGGGTGCCCCGCCAAAAAACGTAGCACCATCAAATTCCACATGTCATAAAACTCCTGTGTACCAAATTTAGTGATTTTCGTACAACGGGGTTCTGAGATATAAAATAAAGATTATTCTTAAGGGCAGACTTCAGGGGGCTGTAACTCCGAAAAAGGGGGCCACTTGGCAAAAATAAAAAATACGGGTCCCCTAAATTTGTCTTAAGAATCTGTGATCAAATTTTGTTGCATGAATTTCGGGACACCCTGTATATTAATGTTCTTAAAATTTACCAAATATTGTACGTTGGTAAAGAGCTGTATTTTTAGTATAAATCTATCTGCCGCCAGTGTCGTAGTTAGGCGAAAATGGATAACTTTACTAACACAGGTCTGCTGTCTACACTTAAAAACACATACTTAAAAATATATAAAATATAAAATACATACACATTATGCGTTATCATCCAATTTGTTATCTTTCTCTTCTGTAGAGAATTTGATCTATTACTCTGATGAAAGTTCAAGTACAAAAGCCTACAGCTGGAGCTGGTTGTGCAGTCAACCCTCAGGTAATGGAAGGTTCCATTATTGAGCGTTAGACTTTACTGTCAAAAGGAGTGCTCACTTGGAGCGACGTTCCCTGCACTATGTGATTTTTTACAGTGCATGCAATCGTCCTGTTGAGTCAACTATTTGTTGTTTGGTGGATAGATTTCAATCAATTGGTTCAGTAAACGTTCAAACCACATCCGTACGTCGTCCAAATGTGATGTCTGTAGAAAACGAGAGGATAACCCGAGGCAGTTAATTCGTCATTGCGCCCAAGAACTTGGTGAATTTATGTCGGGACTCGGGTATGCACCCATACAAAATTCAATTGTAAACAATCATAGGCTGCGTCGAGTATTTCAAGTCATCTGCAAACAGTAAAAATTTACAATGGGAGATGAACTCCTTAATATTGTTTAAAAAGATATCGAAAATTGAACCCCAGCGAGAGCTTTGGGGCACACCTGTCACCGTTACAATTTTATTGGATATGAAATTGTCGAATCTAATCTTTTGATGTTTCTGTAAGATTACTTCTAATCCAATCCAAAACAGAACTGCAAACTCCAAGTACATGAACCTTATCTCTTTTAGTTCAGTTACAGACTGTGGCAGTGCTGCACAATTGGAAATGTAAAATGTGGAAAATACAGTTCCACATACATATACAGGGTGTTCCTTAATGATATGCGAATATTTAAGACATGGAAAATTAATTATAGTTTGCTTTCTAAAGTATGGTCCAAAAATGTTCCTTTGGGACAAGGTTTTAAAATTTTAGGAAAACGAAGGAAATTAAATAATATTTTCGAAACCACTTGAGATATTTCAGTGATATTTAGTACTTGGTGATAGTTAATAGAGGCGCATGTTGTTCAATTTCATTAAGGAACATTCTGTATTATCCCCCTTTAAGTGATACTAGTACCAAAGTAATTTTTTTTTCTGACTTATAAAAACATTGACTGAAAATACGGCCTTCTTGATACACCCAATAAGTAATATAATACTTCAATATTTGACTGTGTAGTATGTGCCCCGTTTAAATTTCGTATAATTTTTCCTAATTATAAGTTTCAGTGTTCACAAAGATAATCTTAAAATTCATTATGAATTAAGCTTTATTTTTTTTTTTAGAATTAAAGAGGATATCAATGAAAAAAATACTTCTGTAAAGGTGCCACCTGTAGTAAACACTCAAGTTAACATTCAGCAACCCTTGAGAAGGTAAGTGAATTTTTTTTATTTATTTATTTTTTATTTAAAATACACATCCAACAGGCGATGTCCAATAACAGGATATGTTAAGTCTAGTAATAAAATATAAAAAAAGTTAAAAGAGAAAAATTAACTATGAAAAAATAAAATGGAATATGTGAAAACTCGCTGACCATTTGTTAAATTTAATAAAAAAAAAAACAGATTGTAGGGAAATATACTGGATGTTTTCTCTATGACAATTTAGTTCTTATATCTCAGTTGCTGTACCAACTGATGCGATGATATTTTATCATATTCACAAAAGGTGGTGTGTAGAATCCAATGGCAGTATCAATATGTATACAGAGTGTTTCGTTTTTGCAGGAATCAATTTATTTTCAATTTTTTGGTGGCAAATTTAAATTAAAATAAATTTAATAAGAAACACACCCTGATAAAAAGATACAAATATCAAAAATGTTAAATTTGTCTAAAAAAACGTTCATTCTTGAGCTTCTATAACCAGTGCTGGGACTCTCGAAATGTCGATTCGATGATTCCGAATCGAGATCGAAATAATATCGATGCATCGGTACTCTTGAAAATTTTGCAATAGAAATAATATTGAAACCCCGCCCATTCGAATCGATATAATATCGAGGAGTCTTGGCTAGCCGAAATGATTTGCTCTCTTCTTCTATCACATGTATTGACTATTGCTGTTTCTTTTCAACATTGCAAATATGTGTTTGCATTTGTGTTTTGTTTATTTTTACGTATTTAACCTAACCCAATGTGAAGTGTCAAATACTTGTTTATATACAAGGACTTGTATAAAATCCTTGGTTTCTATATATCTACAACTATTTGAACAGTTTTTAAATGATACCTTTTCTGTTAACATAATTATGTTCTTCTATAGGAGCAATCATTGATATTAATAAACATAATGCATGGTACCTATGCATTAAATAAATATAAATACTGCATAATATTACAAATCTTGTTCTTGTCATGAGTGTGTATTTACCGGAAAATTTTATAGAGGTTTTAATAAATAACTTACATGTGACTTTCTTTATATCTCTATTAATAGTTTGTTGACTTGAAGCAGGAAGTTTACTCATACCAGTGATGTTCACCGTGCATAAAACCAGAAAGCACAAAATAATTTAATGTTGAATTGAATAGTTTCCGAAGTTCTTTTTACTTCTTTTAAATGTCAAACAATAGACATAATTATATTACATATAATATTTTTATGTAAGTGACATAATTACACAAATTTTTTGTCCAGTAAAGATTATAATGAATCCATTGAACCTCTTAACTGTCTTCTCCAAATATTTTTTTTATTTCAAACCGAATAAAAAATTAGGATGTGGAATATCAATAATTTGTTGAGTATGTACGCATAAAACCTTTAAATATAAAGTACATTTAAATCAACTTTCTTGATTTACTGTTTAGACTAAATAAATAATTTTATAAACTTCTGTTTATTTATTTGATGATAGGTATTCATTTTAAAATTTAAATAAACTGCGTGACGCCGCCGCCGGACAAAAAGAGATAGATAGCTGAAATACGTATATGTTAGACAGAAATAAATTTCACTCAGTTGCCTTAACCGTAGTGGTATACAGCATTACCCCAAATTTGACAAACTTATCCGAGGACTATATCGATGTGCTTCAAGAGTACCAATTTACAATTTCGAGTTGAATCGATCGAGATTGGTTTCGTCTATTATCTCGATATTGATAAAACGACATCGAGATTTCAGGAGTCCCGCTACAGATGTCGTAGAAACAAACATCAGAACACCAAAACAATGAATATGTCACTAAAACATCAGTAAATAATGTCGTTAGATTTTATTTTAAATAGATAATGATAAAAGTCATATTAAAAGTATTTACACACTTGTATTGTAGTTGTGCTATTTTCTGTTTTGAGACATTCATCTATAAAAATATTGCCATTTATAAGTTACTTTTGCACTGCTTCCGAACTTGGTTAATAGTCCAAGCGAATTAGACCAAACACATGTCCGTTTCAAAAATCGGGCCTAAGTCGAATTTTATAGGCTTACAATTAAATAAAAAATACACTAAATTTGTGTATTTGTAGAGGTCGAGTGTCATTGTTTATAACAAAAAAAAATTGCTCTTTTTTCGGTTTTTCGCTTATACACCCACTGGCGCGAAAAGCGGAATAGTCACATTTTTGAAAATAATGGCACAGTGGGCTGCCCAGAATAAAAATGCATCAATATTGATGTTTGACATGTCAAAAGCTTCGTATTTAAAAACTCTATCGAATGCCGTCTGGTGATTTTAAAAAAACATCATGGCGGTTCCAATATGGCGTCCGCAATCATGGAAAATTCTGTTTAATGAGCAATATTGATAGATAAGAAACATAAAAATACTGCATTGTAGACTGAATCACCATATCTATACGTTTTTGGGGTTGCTGATTTCGAATTCAATATTCATTAAACCCCATCTGATCACTGTTCGTCTCTAACCTTAAAAATACTTCAAATCGTTGAAATAATACGTTTCTACGATGAGTAACACAGTCTAACCACCACAATTTATATTTTCGGGATCGCTGAAACCAATTCTGATATCAATATAACTTCAAGTACTCAGAGTTCGTGCCTAACCTCAAAAAGTAGCACAAATTGCTATGATTACACTTTTCTACGTTTAGGAATTAAGTGTAACCAACATATCTTTATATTTTTGGGATCACTGAATCGAATTCCTACATTCGTTTGAACCCAACTAGTCATTAGTCGTACCTAACCTCAAAAGCTATAATAGTGTGACCACCATATTTTTATGTTTTTTTTTCCAAATGAGCTTGTAATATGATGAAAGGTATGTTCCATATAAAAAGAACAAATCCTTTTTGGAAATTCTGCATATAATACTAAAGAAAAGGTAATACAGACTTTATGTCTTAGCCATGATAACGGCTTCAACCCGATTAAGATTAAACACAAAAAGCATATAGGGTGTACCATTGAAAACTTTGCACCCGGCTTATTTTGAACTACGTTCCAAAATATTAAAATTGCCGCGACACGTCCATTTTGTTTTCTAGTGGGGCACATTTTTAGCGTTAAATACAGACTCGCCAGAACAACCACCTTCGCGGGGGCGCATTCAATTTTAGAATCTTAAATGGCACTCTAGGTCGAGTGACACCTCATTCGAAAGTGTTTTTAATTCTAGTTGTCATCATGTAATTGTTTTCAATTTTAGTTCATCTGTTGTTGAAAAAAAAATTACTTATGCTTAGAAATAAAAGACAATTTTGTTGAAAAAAATTACATGATGACAACCAGAGTCAGAAACAGTTTTTAATGAGGTGTCATTCGACCTAGAGTGCCATTTAAGATTCTAAAGTCGAATGTGCCCCCGCGAGGGGGGTTGTTCTGGCGAGTCTGTATTTAACGCTAAAATGTGTCCCCCTCGAACACAAAATGGACGTGTCGCGGCAATTTTAATATATTGGAACGTAGTTCAAAATAAACCGGGTGCAAAGTTTTCAATGGTACACCCTGTATATTGTTTAACCTGTTGAATTTAAAAATATCGAAAATACTGAAAGGACGGGATAATTCTTATGAAGCCTTAATCGATTCGGCAAATACTGTTTCGAAATTTATTTCAGTATGTGGATTCAGTCAACGAACTCAGAAATTAAAATGATTTGATCAAAACCCTAATCAAAGTGTCAGCGCACCAGAGACTTTTTGAAAGATAGTAGCGTTTGAGTGATGCTATTCAATATTTCGTGTTTTTTTATGTGTATCTTCAGGCGCCATATTGGAACTACCACGAGAGGGTTAGAGAAGTGATACGGCTTGGGGGTAACTTTTGTAAATAACAGATCAATCGGATATAATAATCAACTTTAGTTACCTGTAATAGATTATAAGCGATTTTAGTGATATTGTGATCAGACTTTATAACTCAACCAGAAAAAGTGTCATTTTAGTGATTTGGAATATTTTTTGAGGTTAGGTACGACTAGTGACTAGTTGGGTTCAAACGAATGTAGGAATTC